ACAGAGGCCGTCTCAAGAAATGAAATCAATAATAACATCCTGTTAAACCCTCTATCCCTCCCCACTTCCTCCCAATCTCTCCCCTCTCCCGGGGCTGGTGGCAACTCAGATCTCCTTAGTAGTGGGGAGAGATAGAGCTTGGAGATGGCCACCCCTGCCACATTTCCACTTTCCACTCTCCTTCCAGGTGCCACTACAGCACACTGGCCTTCTCGCTGCTGGCCCACGTCCTGGCAGCCCACACGGCCCAGGGGGACTACCAGCGATGGGTGGCTCAGAGGCTCTTGGAGCCCCTGGGGCTGGCCGACACGGGCTTCGACCTCACACCCTCGGTGCGCGCCCGCCTGGCGGCTGGCTTCTACAGCAGCGGCCGACCGGCCCCGCTGTACGACCTGGGATGGTACCGCCCGTCCGGCCAGATGTATTCCACCCCTGCCGACCTGGCCAAGCTGGCCATGCTGCTCCTGGGCGGCAGCCCCCAGAGGCTCCTGCGGCCCGACGCCGCCAAGATGCTGCTGGCGCCGCTGCTGGCCTGCCCGGGCGCCTACTTCGCCAACGAGACGGGCACGCCGTGGGAGTTCCACGCGCAGCGGGGCTACCGCGTGGTGCGCAAGGACGGCGACCTGGACGGCTACGCCGCCACCCTCTCCCTGGTGCCCGCGCTGCGCCTGGGCCTCGTGCTGCTGCTGGCCGGGCCGCGGCCGCCCGGGCCCGACGTGGTGGCCCAGGCCTACGACGCGCTCCTGCCCGCCCTGGAGCGAGCCTTCCGGGAGGCGGAGCTGCGGCCGGCGCCGCCCGCCAGCGCGCGCCCCTTCGCCGGCTACTTCACCGTCGCCAACCGGACCTTCTACGAGGTGCGCGCCGGGCCCGCGGGCGAGCTGCGCCTGCGCCAGTTCGGGCCCCGCGTGGAGGCGCTGGTGCCGCCCGCCTTCCGCACGCTGGCACTGCGCCACCTGCGCGGCCGCGTCTTCCAGCTGCACGTGGCCCGCGAGTTCCCGTGCGCGCTGCCGCTCGGGGACGCCTGGCTCTCGCTCGAGGCCCAGCACGGGCAGCTCGTCCACTTCTACCCGCTTGACCCCGCCGGGCTGTCGCCTGGCTTCGACGTGCCGGGTCTCAACACCTACCGGGTGCTGAGGCTGCTGCGCGAGCCCGCGTTCCAGACCCAGTGACACCTCCCGCCTCCGGACCCAGCGTGCTGGGGAGGCCGCGGCAAAACTGGTGCGGAACCCAGGACCTGGCAAAGTGGAGTGGGTGGGCCGACTCAGGGTGGGGGTCAGCTGACAGTAGTCAGTTGTGGGGACTGTTCCTTATCCGCGAAGGAAGAAAAGGTAAGGTCCGAAATGTACAGTGACTTAGAAACGTGCATAGCGAGTTGTCGGAGCCCTTCTGTGTTTGAGGAATCTAATAAAAGATACGGACTTGCATTTTGCCGTCTTCTCATCAATATCATTAGCTAAAATTTATAGAAAATGAAATGGGCTTTACTAAGCATGGTGTCCTTTTCCAGGGACTGGTCTCTCTTGATTACTTGTGCAAATTAGGCGAGACAGCCTTGCTAGCCCCAATTTTAAGGACCATTCTGGCCGTCTTTCTTCCGAGATAGATCTGTCTCTTCTTTCGGCAGTCCACTTTCAATAATCTTTACCGGCTCCATGATTCAAATGCATCGATGGTTTTTCAGTCTTTCTTATTCATGGTCCATTGTGCACATGCATTTGAGGCAATGGAAAAGTACCCTGGCTTGGCCAGGTGCACCTTAGTCCTCAAAGTAACAGCCTTCCTCTTTAACAGCTTAGAGATTTTGCGCAGATTGACCCAATGCATTGTCATTTGCTCTCTTGCCCGCTGCTTCCATGAGCATTGATTGTGGATCCACGCAAGACGACATCCTTGACAACCTCAGTCTTTTCTCCGTGTATCATGATGGACCTTAAGGGTCCAGTGGTGAGGATTCTTGTTTACATTGAGTTGTCATCGGTATTGAAAGTTACGTTCCCTGATCTTCATCAGCAAGTGCTTTAAGTTCTCACGTTCCGCCAGCAGGGTTGTGCCATCTGCTTATCTCAGGTTGTTAAGGGTTCCTCCAACCCTGATGTCACATTCTTCCCTATCTAGTTCAGCCTCTTGCTCAGCATACAGATTGCAAAAATTTAAACATTTATTTTGTTGCTGAGAACATAAAGAGCAAAACATGTCATTATTCCAGGTTCTACATGTATCACTTAGTGACACTGACTGTATTCTTTGGATTGTGTAACCATTTATCCTTTTCTGTGTTCTCCACCCCTGTGAACAAAAATCCACAAAGGATCTTAACTAGTCTTTTGAGTATCTGTTATTAATTTTATTCCATACAGATAGTTCTTAAAAGCATAATCCTCAAGGCAGACTCCC